AACAAAAAAAAAAAAAAAAAAAAAAAAAAAAAAAAAAAAAAAAAAATCACTATCAGTCACCCCTTGATATAACTGGAGATCTGAGATAACATAACAGCTGTGGCAACGCTATGGACCAGAGAGGGTACAGGAGGCTTCCCCAAGGGCTGTAGTTCAGTAATCCGTTAACAAAAGTCTCCCTTTTAAAGTCTCTGTCTTGTCTTTTTTTTTTTTTTTTTGCTTTTAAGACAAAGTCTCACTCTGTCACCCAGGCTGGAGTGAAGTGACATGATCTCAGCTCACGCAGCTTCATGTGATTCTCCTGCCTCAGCCTCCCAAGTAGCTGGGACTACAGACATGCGCCACCACGCCCAGCTAATTTTTGTATTTTTTTTTTTTAGCAGAGTTGGGGTTTCACTGTGTTGGCCAGGCTGGTCTTGAACTCCTGACCTCAAGTGATCCTCCCGCCTCAGGCTCCCAGAGCCACCGTGCCCAGCCAAGTCTCCTTCTTGAGTCTAAATTGCTTCAAATGCATAGAAGCTCCCATAAAGTTGAAATATAACATACAGCAAAGTAAGTCATAGGGGACTTCATAGGAATTAATGTTTCACTAAATGCAGACATTTATGTACAGACAGGTGATGTTATAGATAATAAAGCTAGGACAGGTGATGACCTAAGTCTATTTTGCTGAGCAAAGGGTACCAAAGGGCAAAAGACATCAATTAAGAGAACCATTCATCTCAATATTTAACTCTGATGTGACTTTAAGTTACATTCCAACAGACATTACCCAGAATACTGAATAACAGAACTGCTAAGAAAGGGAGTATGTTACCATTAACATCTTACCGTTAAAGTAGAATTTCAGCCTATTGGCAAATACATTGGTTCCTGGGATATTGAGCTTTGAAGCAACATGCTCTACAATACTCCTAAAGCCACCAGATATTAGGAAAACCTGAACATTTCGCTCCTGTAGGCGACTTACCAGCTCCCTGCAAAAATAATATACAAAATACCAAACACTGAGTAACACAAAAAGAAAAAAAAAAAAAGGAAACATGAAGAGGGAACTAAGATATATTTTCTTCTCCTGAATGCATTTGCCTGAGGTATATTTGACAAGGTATATTGCCTGGGGAGTTAATGTTTTATATATGTTTTTCTTTTTCTTTTTTTTTTCTTTTTGAGATGGAGTCTCGCTCTGTTGCCCAGGCTGCAGTGCAGTGGTGTGATCTCGGCTTACAGCAACCTCTGCCTCCAGGGTTCCAGCAGTTATCCTCCCTCAGCCTCAAGGGTAACTGGGATTACAGGCACCCGCCACCACACCCAGCTACTTTATTTTATTTTACTTTACTTTTTGAGAAGGAGTCTCGCTCTGTCACCAGGCTGGAGTACAGTGGCGCAATCTTGGCTCACTGCAACCTCTGCCTACCAGATTCAAGCAATTCTTTTGTGTCAGCCTCCCAAGTAGCTGGGACAACAGATGCGGCCACCATGTCCAGCTAATTTTTGTATTTTAAATAGACACAGGGTTTCACTATGTTGGCCAGGATGGTCTCCATCTCTTGACCTTGTGGTCCACCCGCCTCGGCCTCCCCAAGTGCTGAAATTACAGGCGCGAGCCACCACGCCTGACCAACTTTTTTTGCATTTTTAGTAGAGACGGGGTTTCACCATGTTGGCCAGGCTGGTCTTGAACTCCTGACCTCAGGTGATCTGCCCGCCTCAGCCTCCCAAAATGCTGGGATTACATGCATGCGCCGCCACGCCCGGCCTTATATATGTTTTTCTAAATGCACTTAGAAATCAATGAGCAGAGTTTGGCTACTTCAGGAAACCATTACAGAACTCTACTCTGTCCATGGACCCAGAAAAACACAAGATGAGGACAAACAAGGAAAACTTAGGTTTTCCGTGGAGAAAGAGGAAAGGCAGAAACAGACAGGACCACACAACCAGCCAGACAAGACCATGTGTAAGTACCAAAAGAACCACACAGGCTATGCCTTTAAATCCAGCAATTTGGGAGTCCAAGGTAGAAAATCACTTGAGGCCAGGAGCTTGAGAACAGCCTGGGCAACATAGCAAGACCCCCATCTCTACAAAAAATATTTTAAAAGGCTGGGTATAGTGGTTCAAACCTATAATTCCAACATTTTGGGAGGCTGAGGTGGGAAAATTGATCATTTGAGCCCACAAGTTCAAGACCAGCCTGGTCAACATAGTGAGACCCTGTGTCTACAGAAAATTTTTAAAAAATAATTAGGCATGGTCGTCTACATCTGTAGTCCCAGCTACTTAGGAAGCTGAAGCAGGAGGATCCCTTGAGCCCAGAAGGTTGATGCTGCAGTAAGCTGTATTCATGCCACTGCACTCCAGCCTGGGTGACAAAGCGAGACCCTGTCTCTCAAAAAAAAAATTTTTTTTTAAATTAGCTGGGCATGGTGGCATGCACCTATAGTCCCCACTACTAAGGAGGCTAAGGTGGAAGGGCCACTTGACCCCAGGAGTTCAACACTGCAGTGAGCCATGACTGTACTCCAACATGGGCAACAGAATGAGACTCTGACTCTAAAAAAAAAAATAATAGGCCAGGTGCAGTGGCTCACAGCTATAATCCCAGCACTTTGGGAGGCCCAGGCAGGCGGATCACTTGAGGTCAAGAGTTCAAGACCAGCATGGCCAACATGGCGAAACCCATCTCTACTAAAAATACAAAAATTACCCAGGTGTGGTGGCGGGGACCTATAATCCCAGCTACTCAGGAGGCTGAGGCAGGAGAATTGCATGAACCCGGGAGGCAGAAGTTGCAGTGAGCTGAGATTGCACCACTGCACTCTAGCCTGAGTGACAGAGTGAGACTTCATCTTGAAAAAAAAAAAAAAAATTTAAAAAATCATTAAAAAAATTAAAAAATAAAAATGAAAATAAATAAACCACCCAGAGGGCGCTCTAAAGCAATAGTTAGATGCTCTCAGGAGGACCTGCCCTCCCCTCCCACACTGGTGCTGAAATACACCTGGGGCAGGGGCTCCTCTTACCTTATGCCGGGGGTCAGGTGTGGGGGGTGCTCTGCTATGAGTCTCTGCACCTGCTCCCTGGAGGGCTGGATGAGGGCTAAGCGCTCCGTGAGAGCAGATTTGAAAGGCACTGCCCCGCCCATGGCTCGCCGTGTCCTAGGAGGGAGACCCAACAGTCAGGCCAGCCAGGTTCGATGTCCTCGAGGTTAACATGCCTTACTGCCCCAGGTCTGCACAACATCCATCAACAGGAAGATGCTACCAAGAGCCCCACTGTGCAACAGACAGGCTTTGCTGCTATGAGAGCAAGGCCCTGGAATAAATTTTCGAAGGACTGCTTGAATATAACATTAACGGGCCGGGCGCAGTGGCTCACGCCTATAATCCCAGCACTTGGGGAGGCTGAGGTGGGCGGATCACCTGAGGTTGGAAGTTCAAGACTAGCCAGACCAACATGGAGAGACACGGTGTCTACTAAAAATACAAAAGTAGCCGGGCATGGTGGCGCATGCCTGTATTCCCAGCTACTCAGGAGGCAGAGGCAGGAGAATTGCTTGAACCCAGAGGTGGAGGTTGCGGTGAGCCAAGATCACGCCACTGCACTCCAGCCAGGGCAACAAGAGTGAAACTGTCTCAGAAAAAAAAGAAAAGAAAAAGAAAATAACATTAAAAGGCCAGTGTGCAGTGACTCATGCCTATAATTCCAAACACTTTGGGAAGCTGAGGTGGGCAGATCATCTGAAGCCAGGAGCTTGAGACCAGCCTGACCAACATGGCAAAACCCCATCTCTACTAAAAAAAATGCAAAAATTCGACGGGCCTGGGGGTGCGCGTCTGTAATCCCAGCTACTTGGGAGGCTGAGGCAGGAAAATTGCTGGAACCCGGGAGGCAGAGGTTGCAGTGAGCCGAGATTGTGTCACTGCACTCCAGCCTGGGCGACAAAATGAGACTCCGTCTCGGAAAAAAAAAAAATGACATAGTGCATGACTGGGGGACGGGGACTGCAGAGGGAGGTGCCCAGCTGCAGGGCGGGAGGGCAGGAGGGAGGGAGGGACTCTGCTCCAGGATCCACTAAGAGACTCTGATGAACCTTTACAGGGAACCACTAAGGCCACACTTTAAACCATGACACAAAGCCACTGGACACCTGGGTCCCGCTCCCCAGGCCACCTTCTTTGGTTAGTGATGGTCATCATTCCCCTGATCAAGCTAAGAACATGTCTTATCCATGTTTGTTTGCTATAAATATTTATATAAATGAATGAATATGTCAAATTAAACTCTAAGGGATGAAAGAAAAAGCCTAGTGCTCATGTTCCGTAGCCAGGGTCTAGCACTTCATCCAAAACAGTCACTCTTTAGAAAGTCTTTATCATTTCATAAAGTGGATAAATGCTATCCCTACATTTCTGACACCGCGTCCTCAACGCCACAGATTTTGGCTAGCTCATCGATTCCTTCTTCTCTAATGACCGTGCTGTCAACATCAAAACATACAGCATCTGCTGAGTAGAACAGCTTCCTTAGCTCTGAGTGGGAGACCATTGTTGGAAGAATTTTCCTCCTACAAGAAAAAAAGATAAATGTATTTAAAAGATAAATGTATTTAAAGACATCAAATACAATTATGAAAAGATCCCACCTTGCCTACTAAGCCAATCTAATTTGTGTCGAAGTCAGTGCAGGCCACATAAGAGTATATTCACAGATTCATTTGTTTTTCCTTTTTGTTTACTTCCCACACTACACCAATTTCTTCTTTCTTCTTCTTTTTTTTTTTTTTTTGGTGGAGTCTTACTCTGTTTTCCAGGCTGGAGGGCAGTGGTACGATCTTGGCTTACTATAACCTCCACCTCTCAGGTTCAAGTGATTCTTGTGCCTCAGCCTCCTGAGTAGCTCAAATACCTGTGCCTCCTTGAAGCCTTCTTTTCTTTTAGTTATATATATATATATATATATTTTTTTTTTTACCTAATTGTAGCAAGGAAGCAAGCATTAAAGCAGAGGTGTGCATAAGGCTTTATGGGCATATAGGAAAAATGTTTTGCCTTATCTATGAAATAGGGCTTCAGACTGGGCACAGTGGCTCATCCCTGTAATCCTGGCACTTTGGGAGGCTAAGGCAGGAGGAGGATTGCTTGAGGCCAGGAATTCGAGACCAGTGTGGGCAACATAGAGAGATCAAGTCTCTACTAAAAATAATAATACAAAAAATTAGCTGGGCATGGTGGTACACGCCTGTAATCCCAGCTACTTGGGACACTGAGGCAGGAGAATCACTTGAACCCAGGAGGTGGAGCTGCAGTGAGCTGAGATTGTGCCACTGCACTCCAGCCTGGGCAACAGAGCAAGACCCTGACTCTAACTAAAAGGAAAAAAAAGACGGCTTCAAGGAGGCACAGGTATTTGAGCTGAATCTGACAGGTAAGTGGCCCTCTGAGTGGGTTGTCAAAGGGCAGGGCATCGATTTGGCAAGTGCTGGGAGGAGAGGAAGGGAGGTAGACACAAGGAGAGAGGCTTGTGATGGCAGAGGGAGGAGCATGAGCAAAGACAAGGAGGAGGAAGCAGATGACCGGCTGGAAGCTACCCCATGGCTTGGCCCAGGGGCCTGGCAGTGCATCAGGAGTTCAGACTAAGCGGGTCCTAGGGCCAGGCTAAGGAGTTTAGACTTTAACTTCCAGACACTGGGAAAGGCTTTAAGCCTCAGAAGAAAGGTCAGAGCTAAATATAACCGTTTAACATACACAACACTGCCAACGTAGAGGTGGTAGTTGAAGATGTGGTCTGATTAAAGTCCAGTGAGAGGCTGGGTGTAGTGGCTCATGCCTGTAATCTCAGCACTCTGGGAGGCTGAGGCAGGAGGATCACGTGAGGCCAGGAGTTCAAAACCAGCCTGGCCAACATGGCAAAACCCCAGCTGTACTAAAAAAAATAAAAATTAGCCAGGCAGGATGGCGGGCACCTGTAGTCCCAGCTACTCAGGAGGCTGAGGCAGGAGAATCTCTTAAACCTGGGAGGTGGAGATTGCAGTGAGCCAAGATCACACCACTGCACCAGGATGGGGCCACAGAGTGAGACCCTGTCTCAAGAAAATAAAAAATCATAGAAATCAAGTCCAGGGAGAATAGAAAGAGGGAGAAGAGAAGAGTGCTAAGGACAGAGCCTGCAGGACCACCACCTTTACGTCCTGACTTGAGTCTGGGAAGGAGAAGGGGAAAATGGTGAAGGTACAGGAAGAAACTCTGCGAGGCACACTGCTGTACAAGCTGCAGAGGACAGAGAGTCAAAACGAATTTTTATTTATTTATTTATTTTGTGAGACAAGTTCTCACTCTCACCCAGGCTGGAGTGCAGTGGTACAGTCATGGCCCACTGCAGCCTCCAACTCCAGGGCTCAAGCGATCTTCCTGCCTCAGCCTCCCAAGTAGCTGGGACTACAGGTGCATGCCACTATGCTTGGCTAATTTTTAAATTTTTTTTTTGAAGAGATGGGGGTCTTGCTATGTTGCCCAGACTGGTCTTCAACTCCTGGACTCAAGCAATCCTCCCACCTAGGTCTCCCAAAGTGCTGGGATTACAGGCATAAGCCCCCATGCCTGGCCTTTATTTTTTATAAAATCTTTGGACTAGAGTTAGGGCGAAAGGGATCCTCAAGATTGCCTAGACCAGCCTCCCATCAGAGACTAATATGTCAAATACAAGGCTACACAGATGATGTAAATAATCTATATTTAGAAAAGACTGTGGTTAAAAACAGACTCAAAGCAGCTGACCAACCCACTGCTCAACTGATTTCCAACCAATGCAGTTGGCAGAATAATGCCATTTAAAGTTGACCTGGGAAAAAAAATCTTTTAAGTCAGGGGTCAACAAACTATGGCTTGTAGGCCAAATTCACCCTGCCACCTGGTTTTGTATGGCTCACAAGTAAGAACGATTTTTACATTTTATTTTACTTTATTTTTTTTGATACAGGATCTCATTCTGTCACCCAGACTGGAGTGCAGTGGTGCCATTATAGCTCACTGCGGCCTCAAACTCCTGGGCTCAAGTGATCCTTCCATCTTGGCCTCTAGAGTAGCTGGGACTACAGATGTGAGCCACCATGCCCAGCTGATTTTTACATTTTAAACAGTTGAAAAAAAAAATCAAAAAAAGAATATTGTTTGACACGTAAAAACTAATGAAATTCAAATTTCAGGCTGGCTGCAGTGGCTCACGCCTGTAATCCTAGCACTGTGGGAGGCTGAGGATTACTTGAAGCCAGGAGTTCAACACCTATCTGGGCAACATACCAAGACTCCATCTCTACAAAAGTATTTTTATAATTAGCCAGGTGTAGTGGCATGCGCCTATAGACCTAGCTATTCAGGAGGGTGAGGCAGGATTGCTTGAGCACAGGAGTTTGAGGCTGCAGTGAGCTACGACCATGAAATTGCACTCCAGCCTGGGTGACAGAGTGAGATGAGACCCTGTCTCAAAAGTGATAATAATAAGTGAAAATGAAATTCAAATTTCAGTGTCTATTAATAAATCCTTTTTTTCTTTCTTCTGACAAGGAGTTTCGCTCTGTCACCAAGGCTGCAGTGCAGTGGCACAATCTTGACTCACTGCAACCTCTGCCTCCCAGGTTTAAGTGATTCTCCTGCCTCAGCCTCCCAAGTAGCTGGGATTATAGGCGCCTGCCACCACGCCCAGCTAATTTTTGTATTTTTAGTAGAGATGGGGTTTCACCATGTTGGCCAGTCTGGTCTCGAACTCCTGACCTCAAATGATCCTCCTGCCTCAGCCTCCCAAAGAGCTGGGATTATAGGCGTGAGCCACTGTACCCTACCAGAGCCACTGCACCCAGCCATTAACATAATGTCTTTATTACACACTTTATGTCCTCATGATCTGGCTCCCATGCCTATGTATTTTACCAACCTCATTCCCCACAAATATACATACACACACACATTTTTACACACACACATTATTCACACGCACACGCACACACATACACAAACACTTTTTTAAATTTTGAGTTAGGACCTCACTCTGTCACCAAGGCTGGAGTGCAGTGGTGCAATCTCAGCTCATTGCAACCTCTGCCTCCCTGGCTCAAGCAATTCTCCCACTTCAGCCTCCTGAGCATTTGGGACTAGAGGCAGGCACGATGTCTGGCTAATTTTTTATATTTTTAGTAGAGATGGTGTTTTGCCATGTTGCCCAGGGTGGTCTCAAACTTTTGGGCTAAAATGATCCATGCGACTCGGCCTCCCAAAGTGCTGGGACTACAGGCGTGAGCAACCGCGCCTGGTCAAACACACAATTTATGGCTCAAGGAATACTAAGGACTTTTTTTTTTTTTTTTGAGACGGAGTCTTGCTCTGTCATGCAGGCTGGAGTATAGTGCAGTGGCACAATCTCGGCTCACTGCAACCTCCCCCTCCCAGGTTCAAGCAATTATCCTCCCTCAGCATCCTGAGTAGTTGAGACTACAGGTGCATGCCACCATATCCAGCTAATTTTTGTATTTTGAGTAGAGACAGGGTTTCACCATGTTGCCCAGGCTAGTCTTGAACTCCTGACCTCAGGTGATCCGCCTGTCTTGGCCTCCCAAAGTGCTGGGATTATAGGCATGAACTACTGCACCCAGCCTATGTCATGTGTTTTTATTCCTCTACACCCTTTCAAATGTTGCTTCTCTGCCTGGAATCACCATATCCCCCATGTCATGAAGAAAGTCCTACTTCTTCATGGTGTAGATCAAGTGGCCTCCCCTGTACCACATTATTTCCTCCCCATCAACCCAGAAAATCAGTCAATCACTCCAGTTGAATTATCTTCTATCACTGCACCCAGCACTCAATAGGTGTTAGTTAAATATTTCATGAATTAAATATTTTATTAATTAAATAGAGTGGAACTAAGCAGTTATTAAGAACTGAACAAGGGGTTGGCTGCAGTGGCTCACACTTGTAATCCCAGCACTTTGGGAGGCCGAGGCAGGAGGCTCACTTGAGGTCAGGAGTTCGAGACCAGACTGGCCAACATGGTGAAACCCCATCTCTACTAAAAATACAAAAATTAGCCAGGCATGGTGGCAGGTACCTGTAATCCAAGCTACTTGGGAAGCAGAGGCGGGAGAATCACTTGAATACAGGAGAATCTCTTGAACCTGGGAGGTACAGAGGTGGAGACTGCATTGAGCCAAGATCGCACCACTGCACCACTGCACTGCACTGCAGCCTGGCTGACAGACCGAGACTCCATTTCAAAAAAAACACTCAACAAGGGCCAGCATGGTGTCTGACACCTGTAATCCCAGGACTTTGGGAGGCCAAGACAGGTGGATTGCTTAAGGCTAGGAGTTTGAGACCAGCCTGGCCAACATGGTGAAACCCTGTCTCTATAAAAAAAATAAAAATAAAAAATAAAAAATAAAAAGAAACCAGTCATTTGGCTTTGGTCCAGCAGGAATCAAGCTAATTCATACTACATGACCAGGCAGGGTCGCTGTAAAGACCTTGAAGTCAGCAGGTCTATCGGGAGAGAAGCAGCACTTACTGTAGCACAATTCCACTAAGAATGGAGAATGAACCATAGGTGAGTGAAGAGGAAGCCAGAAATAGACAAATGGTTTAAGAGAAGGTAAAATAAATGGGACAAGCTAAAGGACTTTTTAAGAAGGTACATGAGAAGGCTGGGTGCTGTGGCTCATGCCTATAATCCCAGCACTTTGGGAGGCTGAGCTGGGTAGATCACCTCAGGTCGAGAGTTCGAGACCAGCCTGACCAACAGGGAGAAACCCCGTCTCTACTAAAAATACAAAATTAGCCGGATGTGGTGCCACATGCCTGTCATCCCAGCTACTCAGGAGGCTGAGGCAAGAGAATCGCTTGAACCTGGGAGGCAGAGGTTGCGGTGAGCCGAGCTTGCACTATCGCACTCCAGCCTGGGCAACAAGAGTGAAATTCCGTCTCCAAAAAAAAAAAAAAAACGAAGATGCATGAGGCAAATGAGGCAACACACCATAACTAAGAATGGGCAATGCTCCTGAGAACGACTGACAGGCACCAGAACCTCAAAGCCAGTCCCCAGGAACCCTGACACAAGACCCAAAGAGGAATGCATAATGCATGGGCGCCATCCTCAAGAGGCTTCCAGTCTTGTTGAAATGATCAGACAAATAATTACTGGTCATGTTTGAAAAACCAGTGACTTTGGCCAGGAGCAGTGGCTCACACCTGTAATCCCAGCACTTTGGGAGGCCAAGGCGGGTGAATCACGAGGTCAGAAGTTTGAGACCAGCCTGGCCAACATGGTGAAACTCCATCTCTACTAAAAGTACAAAAATTAGTTGGGCGCCTCTAATTCCAGCCACTCAGGAGGCCGAGCCAGGAGAATCGCTTGAACCCGGGAGGCAGAGGTTGCAGTGAGCTGAGATCTCACCACTGCACTCTAGCCTGGGCGACAAGAGCAAGACTCCATCTGAAAAAAAAAAAAAAAAAAAAAAAAAAGGCAAACCAGGTACTTGAACCTCTTTCCAACCAATGACACTTTAATGAGATTGGCTGGGCGCAGTGGCTCACACTTGTAATAATCCCAGCAGGATCATTTGAACTCAGGAGTTTGAGATCAGTTCTTGAGAACATAGCAAGATTCCTTCTCTTAAAAAAAAAAAAAAAAGAAAGAAAAATTGGTGGGGCATGGTGGTGCACACTTGTGGTCCCAGATACTCAAGAGCCTGAGGCAGGAGGATGGCTTGAGCCCAGGAGTTCAAGGGTGCAGTGAGCCGAGATCAGGCCATAGCACTCCAGCTTGGGTGACAGAGTGAGACACCATCTCAAAAAAAAAGCAAGACCATCAGCCTTGAGTTTGAAAAGAAATGTACATTTCCTCCACTAAAAGTTAGAACTGATTTACACATCCCCAGCTGACCACTAGGCCTGATTTACAGCTCAGAATTGTTGACACCTGCCTTCTGGGTTGTAATGTGGTCCCAAGGAGAAAACAGAATATTTTTGGCTTTTTTTCAAGACAAAGTCTCACTCTGTCGCCCACACTGGAGTGCCAATGGTGTAATCATAGCTCACTGCAGCCTCAACCTCCTGGGCTGAAGTGATCCTCCCGCCTCAGCCTCCTGAGTAGCAGAGACTACAGGCACACACCACCACACCCAGCTATGTTATTATTATTAATATTTTTGCAGAGATGAGGTCTCACTATGTTACCCAGGCTGGTCTTGAATTCCTGGCCTCAAACGATTCTCCCATCCTGGCTCCCAAAGTGCTGGGATTATAAGCATGAGCCACAGTGCTGGACAAAATAGAACATTAGAGACACACTTTACATTGAATTTACTTGGAAGGCTGATTCTTTTTCCACACCCTCCCTAGGAGAGCGAGCTGGATTTTAGGACCTTAACTCTGCCCCTGAAATGGTCAGGCCAAGGGAGATGGCCTTTACCTTTTGGATTACAAGAGTATCAACTCCCTCCCTGCTTGATTGAGCAGCAGAGCAAACTTGGCCACAGCTCCTTTTAGCTCTTCCCATCCTGCTCTGGAAAATGCTGTACCTCCCTGTACACTTCTGATTTCCTCCTTTTTTATTTTTATTTTTACTTTTTTTGAGATGGGGTCTCACTCTGTTGCCCAGGCTGGAGTGCAGTGATGTGATCTCGGCTCACTGCAACCTCCGCCTCTCGGGTTCAAACGATTCTCCTGCCTCCCGAGTAGCTGGGATTACAGGCGCCTGTCACCACGCCTAGCTAATTCTTTTGTATTTTTAGTAGAGACAGGGTTTCACCATGTTGGCCAGGCTGGTCTCAAATTCCTGACCTCAAGTGATCCACCTGCCTCAGCCTCCCAAAGTGCAGGAATGACAGGTGTAAGCCACCATGCCTGGCCAACTTCCTCCTCTTTTCATTGTCTCCACCAGGAGTGACTCACAATCCATGTGTATTTAAAATTCTCGTGGCTATAGAGGAAAAAAAATCTGCTGAGTAAGTTCAGTTGCTGCAAAGTAAATTGTGTATATCAGAATTCCACACACAGAAAAATCATTGCCGGAGAATGGACTCTGGATTCTTCATATTTGGCTCTAACAGGGAGGGAGAGGGCAGGGCCAGGGGTAGAAGACATGCTGGTGGGAAGGTCTATTCTCAGATTCTCAGACACAGTGGCTCCCAGGCCCCATCCAGACCACTGCCTTCTGCAGCTCAGAACAGAACTTCTGCCTGGCTGGCCCCAGCTACTTCATCTGGGGCAAGCAAAGGACCAACGGATTTAAAAACAAAACAAAACAAAAAAGTCACAGCTGACAAGGCCTTCTTGCCCCTAGTTCCAAAGTACAAAAGCAAGTTTTCCTGCAGGACCAGGCTTCGGAGGCCTGATTTTGGATAAGAGGAAAAAAGCTCCTCGCCCAAACAAACGCTTTCCCAACTTCTCAATCTCTGTATCTTTCAACAGGCTTCTAAGATCACCTTGCTTCCTTCACCTTGTTAGGACTGACCTCTTACCTTCACCTGTGTAAGAAAAAAAATAAAAGCCCGTACAGAGGTTGTGAAGGTCACACACAATTGCGAGAACCAAGCTTATTTGCTTTGGTAGTAGGGATAAATTTGTTCAGGTTCCCGGGCATTGAAAGAGTACACAGTATAGCCGGGCATGGTGGCATGTGCGTGTAATTCCAGCTACTGGGGAGGCTAAGGCAGAAGAATTGCTTGAACCTGGGAGGCAGAGGTTGCAGTGAGCCGAGATTGTGCCACACTGCACTCAAGCCTGGGCGACAGAGCGAGGCTCCGTCTCAAAAAAAAAAAAAAAGAGTACACAGTAGATTTTGAAAAGCTTCTGAATCAGAGGAGAGTCAAACAGGGAACTCCCTGTAACAAGGGCTGGGATCCTCAGCACATGCACTTACACTATATTTTATTTTATCTTTTGTTTAGAGATGGAGTCTTGCTCTGTCACCCAGGCTGGAGTGCAGTGGTATGATTTCGGCTCACTGCACTCTCTGCCCCGGGTTCAAGTGATTCTCATGCCTCGGCCTCCCGAATAGCTGGGATCAAAAGCGTGTGCCACCACACCCAGGTAATTTTTCGTATTTTTGGTACAGACCGGGTTTCACCATGTTGGGCAGGCTAGTCTCGAACTCCTGACCTCAGGTGATCTGCTCACCTCGGCCTCTTAAAGTGCAGGGATTACAGGTGTGAGCCACCATGCCCGGCCTTATGCTATATTTTATGATTTAAAAAAAAAAAAAAAAAAAGCCAGCACAGCCATAAAAAAGAATGACATCATGTCATTTGCTGCAACATAGATACAGCTGGAGGCTGTTATCCTAAGTGAATTAGCGCAGGAACAGAAAACCAAATACCACATGTTCTCACTTATAAGTGGGAGCTAAACTGGGTACATGTGGATACAAAGACGGGAAAAACACAGTAATGGCCAGGTGCAGTGGCTCACACCTGTAATCCCAGCACTTTGGGAGGCCGAGGCAGGCAACTCACTCGAGATCAGGAGTTCGAGACCAGCCTGGCCAACATGGTGAAACCCTATCCCTACTAAATACACAAAAATTAGCGGGGCATGGTGGTGGGCACCTGTAATCCCAGCTACTCAGGAGGCTGAGGCAGGAGAATCACTTGACCCCAGGAGGTGGAGGTTGCAGTGAGCTAAGATCACACCATTGTGCTCCAGTCTGGGCGACAGAGCGAGACTGTGTAAAAACAAAAAACAAACAAAAAAAGGATACTGAGGACTATAAGAAGGCAGGGGAAGGAGGGCATGGATTGAGAAACTACCTACTGGGTACTGTGCTCAAACCCTGGGTGAGGGGATCAATCATACCCCAAACCTCAGCATCATGTGATATACCCATGTAACAAACCTGCACATGTACTCCTTGAAGCTAAAATAAAAGTTGAAATGATATGTAATATAACCAGCTATTCTAGGAAGCTGAGATCTTCTGCATGCCACATAGTTGACACCAATTTTTAAAATTCAAGTGAGGAGTAAACTGCAGGTCGGGTGTGGTGGCTCACGCCTGTAATCCCAGCACTTTGGGAGGCCGAGGCGGATGGATGACCTGAGGTCGGGAGTTCAAGACCAGCCTGGCCAACATGGCGAAACCCTGTCTCTACTAAACATACAAAAATTAGCCAGGTGTGGTGGCCCGCACCTGTAATCCCAGCTACTCAGGAGGCTGAGACAGGAGAATCACTTGAACCCAGGAGGTGGAGGTTGCAGTAAGCCAAGATCGCACCACTGCACTCCAGCCCGGGTGACAGAGCAAGACTCTGTCTCAAAAAAGAGTGAAATGCTAGCAGATAGACAAATGTTTAACAGTTCAATGCATAAAAAACATTACAATGACAGCAAAAAAACAAAACCAAGAAAAGGCAAATCAGACTCACGTGTCTCCAGTGCTAGATTTCTAGTAGACCACACTCTTCTCTTCCTGTTCCTTCCCTAGATAAAAATGCAGAACAAAGTTCTGACTACAGATTTCTTAAAGAAAGACCTGTGGATTCTGCAAGAGCAAGAGCCTAGAAAGAGAGAATGAGGAAATGAACATCGTAGTCCACACACAAAACAGGAAAGAGGGAGACTGTCTGGCTTCACTCTCTCTCCTGGTACGACTGGCACAAAAACGGGTCAGAGGCAAAATTTCCTAAGACTGCTTCCTCTGCGAAATGCTTTACTCCTACCTCCTTTAATCACTGTAGAGTCAACATACTCTTTTCTATGGCTTCAATTCTGCAAGGTTCAGGTCTGACAGGAAATCACATATACCTGATTAGCAGGGTACAAAGGCAAGGGAGAGGGAAAGAGAATCTCTTGGGAGAACTAAATGCATAGACAAAGAAGCAGACTTGGGCGGGTGCGGTGGTTGACACCTGTAATCCCAATACTTTGGGAGGCCAAGGCAGACGGGCCACTTGAGGTCAGGAGTTCAAGACCAGCCTGGCCAACATGGTAAAACCCCATCTCTACTAAAAATACAAAAATTAGCCTGCTGGTAAGAGTGTGTGCCTGTAATCCCAGCTATTTGAAAGGCTGAGGCAGAAGAATCTCTTGAACCCAGCGGGCAGAGGCTGCAGTGAACCAAGATCATACCATTTCACTCCAGCCTGGGCAAGAGAGAGACTCTGTATCAAAAAAAAAAAAAATTAGCCAGGTATGGTGGCACATGCCTGTGGTCCCAGCTACTCGGGAGGCTGAGGCAGGAGAACTGCTTGATAAACCCCGGAAGCAGAGTCTGCAGTGAGCCAAGATCGTGCCTCTGCACTCCAGCCTGGGTGATAGAGCGAGACTCCATCTCAAAATAAATAAAACAAACAAACAAACAAACAATAAATAAATATAATGAGGGGACAGAGACAACAGCCTTCCAAGATGAATCAGAGAAAGGATCTGCTGCCCAATTACAAGGGAGCAAAGACAACAGGTGTGTGTGTGTGTGTCTCTGAGATAGGGTCTTGCTCTGTCGCCCAGGCTGGAATGCAGCCATGTAATCATAGCTTACTGCATCCTAGAACTCCTGGGCTTAAGCAATTATCCTGCCTCAGCCTCCCGAGTAGCAGGGACTACAGATGCACACCATTATACACTGCTAATTTTTCATTTTTTGTAGAAACAGGGTCTCGCTATGTTGCCCAGGCTGACCTTGAACCCATGGCCTCAAGGGATCCTCCCATATCGGCCTCCCAAAGTGTTGAGATGACAGCTATGAGCCACCACACTGGGCCTGCAGTTTCTTATAAACATATACTTACCATAAGACCCAGCAAGGCCGGGCACGGTGACCCAGCACTTTGGGAGGCCAAGGTGGGCGGATCACCTGATGTCAAAAGTTTGAAACCAGCCTGACCAACATGGTGAAACCCTATCTCTACTAAAAATACAAAATTAGCTGGGCCACCATGCTGGTAATCCCAGCTACTAGGGAGACTGAGGCAGGAGAATTGCTTGAACCCTGAAGGTGGAGGTTGCAGTGAGCTGAGATCACGCCACTGCACTCCAGCCTGGGCAACAAGAGCAAAATTCTGTCTCAAAATAAATAAATAAATAAATAATTATACTGATGGAAAGGAGCCAGACACAAGAGCACATACTGTATGGTTTCAGTTATATGAAACACTAGAGGCCGGGCACGGTGTCTCATGCCTGTAATCCCAGCACTTTGGAAGGCCAAGGTGGGTGGATCACGAGGTCAGGAGTTTGAGACCAGCCTGGCCAATATGGTAAAACCCTGTCTCTACTAAAAATACAAAAAAATTATCCAGGCGTGGTGGCGGGCGCCTGTAGTCCCAGCTACTCGGGAGGTTGAGGCAGGAGGATTGCTTGAACCCAGGAGGCAGAGGTTGCAGTGAGCTGAGATTGCACCATTGCACTCCAGCCTGGGTGACAGAGCGAGACTTGGTCTCAAAAAAAAAAAAAGGAAAAAAAAAAAGAAGAAACACTAGAAAATACAAATGCTATAATGACAAAGATCAGATCAGTAGGGCTAGGAGTTGGGACAAAGGGCTGACTGGAAAGAGGCCCTAGGAAACTTATGGGTGATGGAAATGTTATTGTGGTGATAATTACAAGCATGAATAAATTTGTCAAAATTCATCAAAATGTGCACTTAAAGAGTGCATTTTATTGCATTTAATTATATATCAATAAAACACTGGTTTTAAAAAAGTCTCTCATGGGAGGCTGGTCTAGGCAACCTTGAGGATCCCTTTAACCCTAATTCTAGTCCAAGGATTTTCTAAAAAATAAAAAAGGCCGGGCGTGGTGGCTCACGCCTGTAATCTCAGCACCATTTGGGAGGCCGAGACGGGTGGATCACAAGGTCAGGAGATGGGGACCATCCTGACTAACATGGTGAAACCCTGTCTCTACTAAAAATACAAAAAAAAATTAGCCAGGCGTGGTACCAGGCACCTGGAGTCCCAGCTACTCGGGAGGCTGAGGCAGGAGAATGGTGTGAACCCAGGAGGCAGAGTTTGCAGTGAGTCAAGATCTCACCACTGCACTCTAGCCTGGGCAACAGAGCAAGACTCCGTCTCAAAAAAGAAAAAAGAAAAAAAAAAAGGTTGGGCATGGGGACTCACACCTATAATCCCAGCATTTTGGGAGGCTGAGGAGGGAGGATCGCTTGAGCCCAGGAGTTCCAGATCAGCCTGGGCAACATAGTGAAATGCCATCTCTACAAAAAATAAAATAAATGAGCCAGGCATGGTGGTGCATACTTGTAGTCCCAGCTACTTGGGAGGCTGAGGCAGGAGGATCACTTGAGCTCAGGAGTTTGAGATTCCAATGAGCTATGATTGCACCGCTACACTCTAGCCTGGGTGACCAACTGAGACCCTGTCTCTTAAAAAAAAAAAAAAAGAAAAAGAAAAGAAGGAAGGAAAGGAAGGCATATATTGAATCATTTGAAAATTTTAAAAGTCCTGACTACTTTGTTTCACCAACATGAAAGTGACAGTGCTATGGTCATGATATTGAAAACCTACTTGGCACTGTAATACAGAAATCTTGGATTTTATTATTTTCCTCCCTGATCCTCATTCCAATATCAGTCATCAAATATTTAAAAAGTAATAATATGCAAATCATACATAAAGAAAATATAGTGGCCAGGTACAGTGGTCATGCTTGTAATTCCAGCTCTTTGGGAGGCAGAGGCGGGTAGATAGCTTGAGGCCAGGAGTTTGAGACCAGCCTGGCTAACATGGTGAAACCCTGTCTCTACTAAAAATACAAAAATTAAAAAATTAGTTGGGCATAGTGGCCCACACCCATCTACTCAGGAGGCTGAGGCAGGAGAATCCTTTGAACCCTGTAGGCGGAGGTTGGAGTGAGCCGAGATCGCGCCACTGCACTCCAGCCTGGACAACAGAATGAGACTCTGTCAAAAAAAAAAAAAAATTAAAAAAGAAAAAAATATATAGTAAATATATTTAATGAATGAAAGCATGCTTTATTTAATTCCCAACTTGACGTTGTATCGTTATAACAATGTATCTGGTAAGTACTTATTTTAAAATTCTAATTCTAATGGGAAAGAAGACAAACTCGGACACTTCAACTCTGAGTTTGGGGATTGCCCCAATCTTGCACTGAGGGTGCTCCTGTATGCAAGGGATTGCATCATTCATTCATGCTGTTTGGCAACATGCGGCTGCTGTAAGATTAGACAAGTGAAGTTACCCAAAACATAAATCAATGAAAAGCAAGCCTGAAGATTCTAGGAAATGATCTGCCTATGCGATTAAGAAGAAATGTAGACTCAGAGGGGAAGCCTGGAAGAGGAAAAGGAAAGTCGGCAAAATCAGAAAGTTGGGTGCAGGGAAAGCACAAGCCAGGACTCACGCTGTGTCCTGGGCCTCCGGGGCTCCTTTCCGCTGCAGGGGGCCAGCGCCGGCTCCAACGCTCAGGCGAGCAGTTCCCAGGGAGGTGAACTGTGCAGACTCAGGGTCTCCACTGAACGCTCTCTTGAAATCTGCTGATAAGCGGGGTGGCTTCTGAAGAGTTCTGCAAGTGCTTCTGTAAACTGGAGACACCAGATCTCTGTTCTGCAAAGCCGGGCTAGGAGGACGCTTTGGCCCCGCCCCAGGGGAGGGGCTCCCCGAACCAGACCCCTCCTCCACCGGGGGCTCGGCGCCTGTAGTCCGAGAGGTGCACGGTGCGCAGTGCGCTTTTGCTTTTTCGCAAAGCCGCGCCCTGTGGCACCTCCGCTTTACAGAGGAACAAAAAAGCTCCTGGACCTTCAGAAGCTGCTCCGCACTGCCGCCACCACTACTTAGGATAAGGGTAGGTGAGGGAAGCCAGGGACCGCTGCACTGATTTTGCAATTAATAAAAACCCCTCGGGGGGCCTCTTTTGAAATCCACGTTTGGCATTATGCGCTTGCAGCACTGTAGGTCCCAAAAGAACTTCAAAGACTACTTATATTCTTTTTTTTTTTTTTTTTGAGATGGAGTCTCTCTCGGTCGCCTGGGCTGGAGTGCAGTGGCACGATCTCGGCTTACTGCAAGCTCCGCCTCCTGGGTTTACGGCATTCTCCTGCCTCAGCCTCCCAAGTAGCTGGGACTACAGGCGCCCCACCACACCCAACTAATTTTTTGTATTTTTAGTAGAGACGGGGTTTCACCGTGTTAGCCAAGATGACCTCGTGATCCGCCCACCTCGGCCTCCCAAAGTGTTGGGATTACAGGCGTGAGCCACCACGCCCGGCCAAGACTACTTATATTCTCAATTAAAATGCAACCATGAGTAACAAAATGACTCTTTGCACCTTGTTTTTATTTTTAATTTTTATTTATGTTTTTAAATAGAGATGGGGGGGCTCCCATTCCTGGGCTCAAGCGATCCTCCCTCCTCGGCCTCCCAAAGTCTTGGGATTGCAGGTGTGAGCTACCGCGCCCGGCCTATTTCTTTTTAAAATTTTTCTGGCCAGGCTCGGCGGCTCAAGCCTGTAATCCCAACACTTTTGGAGGCTGAGGCAAGCGGATCACCTGAGGTCAGGCGTTCGAGACCAGCCTGGCCAGCATGGCAAAACTCCGTCTCGAGCAAAAATACAAAATTAGCAGGGGCATGGTGGTGCATGCCTGTAGTCCCAGCTACTTGAGAGGCTGAGGCAGGAGAATTGCTTGAACCCCGGGGAAGGAGGTTGCAGTGAGCCACGATCATGCCACTGCACTACAGCCTGAGCAACAGAGTAAGACTGGTTTAAAAATATATATATGAATTCCATGTGTCACTTGCCCAGCTCCTTGCATGTTAACTACAACAAATAACGGGTGTTTCCCCCAAACATTTACCACTAGAGTTAGCTGGCTAGAGCTAGCTAGAGGTCCACTCTAAAACACAACCTGAAACCTCAAAGGCTGACAGTCTGCACTCCAGGCTCACTCTACGTTGCTTACCCACACAGAGGATGCAATCCCTGGGGTGGGACACTTGGTCACAACATCTCTGCCATTAGCTACAGGACCCTCCTCACCAAAACACAATTTTTTTCTTTTTCCGAGGCTGAGTCTCACTGTTTCCCAGGCTGGAGTGCAGTGGTGTGATCTTAGCTCACTGTAACCTCTGCCTCCTGGGTTCAAGCGAGTCTCCTGCCTCAACCTCCCCAGTAGCTGGGATTACAAGTGCACGCCACCATGCCCAGCTAGTTTTTGTGTTTTTAGTAGAGACTGGGTTTCACCATGTTGGCCAGGCTGGTCTCAAACTCCTGACCTCAAATGATCTGCCCACCTCAGCCTCCCAAAGTGCTGGGATTACAGGCATGAGCCACCACGCCCAGCCTGCTGTAGTTTTTTAAAAAGTGTAATAGGCTGGGCACATTGGCTCACGCCTGTAATCCCAGCACTTTGGGAGGCCGAGGCGGGTGGATCACCTGAGGTCAGGAGTTCAAGACCAGCCTGGCCAACAATTTGAAACTCTGTCTCTACTAAAAATATAAAAATTAGCCTGCCATGGTGGCGCCTGCCTGTAATCCCACCTACTTGGGAAGCTGAGGCAGGTGAATTGCTTGAACCTGGGAGGCAGAGGTTGCAGTGAGGTGAGATCACGCCACTGCACTCCAGCCTGGGCAACAGAGTGAGAATCCATCTCAAAAAAACACACAAAAAACAAAAGCATAATAAAAGAAACAAAATGTTAAATACCAGATGTTTGTATCTAAGTATAAGTGGTAACTGAGAATTTATTTTGAGGGGAAAAGAAACTCAAGTAAATGTGGAAGGCTAGAAGAGTTAACTTATGCTATTTGTATTTCATAAATGTTTAACATTAAATATTCCTTAAAATATTAAATATTCTTAAAAATTTTAGATAAAATATTTATATTTACTAAAATCTGGCTGGGTGTGGTGGTGCATGCTTACAGTCCCAGCTACTTGGGAGGCTGAGGCGGGAGGATCATTTGAGCTCAGGATTTCAAGGTTACAGTGTGCTGTGATCATGCCACTGTTCTCCACCCTGGGTAATAGAGCAAGCCCTTGTCTCTGAAAAATTAATTAATTAAAATCTGTCACCTCTTCATGGTCCTGGAATCAACCTCACACTCACACATGTATTAATACTTGTGGGCATGAGATGGCTGTATTGTAGACATTGTTTGGCTAGAGCACATCACATTAAAAATATATATAGTTGCCTAGAAGACACTAATGAGTGGTCACGTATAACAACCAGGAGGTAATCTTGCCAGACAAAGCAAAACTGTGAAACAGATTAAAATATGCTTCATCAGGCTGGGCACAGTGGCTCACGCCTGTAATCTCAGCACTCTGGGAGGCCGAGGCAGGTGGATCACCTGAGGTCACGAGTTCGAGACCAGCCTAGCCAACATGATGAAACCCCATCTCTACTAAAAATACAAAAAGTAGCTAGGCCTGGTGGCGGGCACCTGTAATCTCAGCTACTGGGGAGGCTGAGGCAGAAGAATCACTTGAACCCAGGAGGCAGAGGTTGCAGTGAACCGAGATTACACCACTGCACTCTAGCCTGGGTGACAAAGCCAGACTCTGTCTAAAAACACAAAAAGCAAAAAAAAAAAAAAAGTTTCAATGCTGTTCTTACTGGAATAATAGCACAAGTGAACCAAATACAATACAGCATAATGAAGGCATAATTACTGGAATAATAGCACGTGAGAACCAAACACAATACAGCATAATGAAGGTATAATAAAAATATTAGCAAATTATTTTGCAAAGTTTTAATCACAATTGGTTAGTCAAAAGTAATACAGGTCATACTACTGTTCCTAAAGGTTTTCTTTCTTTTTTCTTCTTTTTTTTTTTTTTTTTGAGACGGAGTCTCGCTCTGTCCCCCAGGCTGGAGTCCAGTGGCCGGATCTCAGCTCACTGCAAGCTCTGCCTCCCGGGTTTATGCCATTCTCCTGCCTCAGCCTCCCGAGTAGCTGGGACTACAGGCGCCCGCCACCTCGCCCGGCTAGTTTTTTGTATTTTTTAGTAGAGACGGGGTTTCACTGTGTTAGCCAGGATGGTCTCGATCTCCTGACCTCGTGATCCGCCCGTCTCGGCCTCCCAAAGTGCTGGGATTACAGGATTGAGCCACCGCGCCCGGCCTTCTTTTTTTTTTTTCTTTTGAGACAGGGTCTCACTGTCACCCAGGCTGGAGTGCAGTGGCATGATCATAGCTCACTGAAGCTTCGAATTCCTGGGCTCAAACAATCCTCCTGTCTCAGCCTTCTGAGCAGGTGGGACCACAGGTGTGTGCCACCACACCAGGCTGTTTTTTTTAATGTTTAGTAGAGCCTGGGTCTCATTAGTCTCCAGCTCCTGGGCTCAAGTCCAAGCGTGATCCACTTTACCCGGCTCTGAAAGATTTTCTATAGATCACATTTTTGTAAGCTAACTTTTTTTTTTTTTTTTTTTGAGATGGAGTCTCGCTCTGTCACCCAGGCTGGAGTACAGCAGCGTGATCTCAGCTCACTGCAACCTCTGCCTCCCGGGTTCAAGCGATTCTCCTGCCTCAGCCTCCCAAGTAGGTGGGATTACAAGCATGCACCACCATGCCCGGCTAATTTTTGTATTTTTAGTATAGATGGGGTTTCACCATGCTGGACAGGCTGGTCTTGAACCCCTGGCCTCAGGTGATTCACTCGCCTTGGCCTCCCAAAGTGCTGGGATTATAGGAGTGAGCCACCATGCCCAGCCACAAATTTTCTAATGGCTAATTATGTTAGAATCATGTCCTCTTTTTAAAAGTCATTCAGTGCTAATAGCCTTCTAAAGTATAGTAAATTGAAACAAGCCCTCCGGAAACAATATGGTGTTATTCAGTAACATTGAACACAAGTGGCGGAGCGCAGTGGCTTAATCCTGTAATCCCAGCACTTTGGGAAGCTGAGGTGGGCGGATCACAAAGTCTGGAGATCGAGACCATCCTGGCTAACACGGTGAAATCCCGTCTCTACTAAAAATACAAAAAAAAAAAAAAAATTAGCCGGGCGTGGTGGCAGGTGCCTGTAGTCCCAGCTACTTGGGAGGCTGAGGCAGGAGAATGGCATGAACCCAAGAGGCGGAGCTGCAGTGAGCCAAGATCGCACCCCTGCACTCCAGCCTGGGCGACAGAGCGAGACTCCATCTAAAAAACAAACAAACAAAAAACATTGAACACAAGCAATTTCTAAGACCCAGCAATTCCCCCTGAGGAAGACACTCAGGAGAAACTTGCATGATTAAGCTGGCTGGGTGTGGTGCCTCATGCTTCTAATCCTAGCACTTTGGGAGGCCTAGATGGGAGGATCCCTTGAGCCCAGGAGTTCAAGACCACCCTGGGCAACATATTGAGAACTAATCTGTACAAAAAATAAACAAAATTAGCTGGACGTGGTGGCACACATCTCGAATCCCAAGTACTTGGGAAGCTGAGGTGGGAGGATGACTTGAGCCTAGGAGGTTGAGGCTGCGCTAAGATCACGCCACTGTACTCCAGCCTGGGTGACAGAGTGAGACTCCAGCCCCCCCCCAAAAAAAAAAAAAAAAAAAAAAAAGAGGCTGGGTGCAGTGGCTCATGCCTGTAATCACAGCACTTTGAGAGGCTGAGGCAGGCAGATCACCTGAGGTCAGGAATTTGAGACCAGCCTGACCAACATGGAGAAACCCTGTCTCCTCTAAAAATACAAAATTAGCTGGGTGTAGTGGCACATACCTGTAATCCTAGCTGCTCAGGAGGCTGAGGCAAGAGAATCGCTTGAACCCGGGAGGCAGAGGTTGTGGTGACCCAGGATTATGCCATTGCACACCTGCCTGGGCAGCAAGAACAAAACTCCGTCTCAAAAAAAACAAACAAAAAACAAACTGACACTTGTATGATTGGAGGAGCCACATATATAAGAATTTTCACAGCAGTACTGTGAACATTCTCAGTTACTGTGATACTCCAGTAGCCACTGGAAACTTTAAAAAGAGACTATCATTTAATGTCATAAATGATAACTTACAACATAAAATTCAGAACAGTAGTTACTTCTGAAAGTAAGAAAGGAAATGAGACTGAGAAAAGGTATGTAGAGTTAGTAATGATACTATAATAATAATGTTCCTTTAAGTAGGATGGTAGGTATACAGATGCTTTTTATATCTGTGTGTATAAAATATTTGCTAACAAATGTAATATTTCTTATCAATACATTAAATACCAATACATTGCCAGCCAGGCGCAGTGGCTCACGCCTGTCATCCCAGCACTTTGGGAGGCCAAGGCAGGGCAGATCACAATGTCAGGAGATGGACACCATCCTGGCCAACATGGTGAAACCCCATCTCTACCAAAATACAAAAAATTAGCCAGGCATGGTGGCAATGTGCCTGTAATCCCACCTACTCGGGAGGCTGAAGCAGGGGAATCGCGTGAACCCAGGAAGCAGAGGTTGCAGTAAGCCAAGATTGCACCACTGCACTCCAGCCTGGCAACAGGGAAAGACGCCGTCTCAAAAAAAAAAAAAAACCAATACATTAAAATAATATAAATGTCTTGAAAGAGCACAGTGAACACAGTTTGAAATGTGATTTAATATAAACATTGTCATTCAAAATAAGTCATGCCATGGAAATATGCCCATGATATGTCACATGAATAAAGGAAGTTGCAGAACATATATATCATTTGAGATCCCATTTTTGAACAAAGAAATCTCTATGTGTGTCTACATCCAGGTATGGTATATGGTTATATATCTATGTCTATGTATCTATATAAAAAACGAAACATTATTCATTTGTTTATTTTTTTGGGACGGGGTCTGGCTCTGTCACTGTCCAGGCTGGAATTCAGTGGTGCAATCTCAACTCACTACAATCTCTGCCTTCTGGGTTCAAGCGCTGGGATTTTGGTGTGAGCTATCTTTATAATGGAAAAAGTGGGAGAAATTTATATTACAAAGAGATATGATTATAGTATAAGAACTGTGGCAATATTTGACTGAATCTTTCCCTCCCTCCTCCTAGAAATTATGCAAAGTGATAGGGAGATATGGTGGTGGGGGGAATGAGGCAGAAATCCCATATTCAACAAAACTAGGAGACACAAAGTCACTGGAGACTCCAAGACCTGCACAAGGGCTACCAAAGTTACATGGGAAGAGGCAGATGCAGATCCCAGAAAACACCAGCAAAAACAGACTCTCTGAAGATGAGCCATTCGTGCCACAGTGCAAACATGTCTTGTTTGAAACAAGCAGAGCAGAGCAGGGATAAAAAGAACTGAGGGCAAGGCTCAATCAAGCAGAAAGGGAGTTGAAACCCTTGTAACCCAAGGGGTGAAGATGCCCAAAGGGTGTAACCCAAGGGCATCTCTCCTGGCCTGAGCATCTTATGGGTAGAGTTAAGGTCTGAACACCCAGCTCACCTTCCTAGGGAGGGCGTGGGAAAAGAATCAGCCTTCCAAGTAAATTCTATGTGTATCTCTAACATTCTGTTTTGGCCAGCACGGAAACTTACGCCTGTAATCCAAACACTTTGGGAGGCCAAGGCGAGAGGATTGCTTGAGCCCAGAAATGCAAGACCAGCCTGGTTATCACAGCAAGACTCTATCTCTCTCTCTCTCTCTTTTTTTTTTTTTTGAGACAGAATCTTTCTGTGGCCCAGGCTGGAGTGCAGTGGCACGATCTCAGCTCACTGCAACCTCTGACTCCCGCATTCAAGCGATTCTCCTGCCTCAGCCTCCCGAATAGCTGGGTCCACAGGCGCCTGCCACCATGCCCAGCTAATTTTTGTATTTTTAGTAGAAACGGGGTTTCACCATGTTGGCCAGGATGATCTTGATCTCTTGACCTTGTGATCTGCCCGCCTCGGCCTCCCAAAGTGTTGGGATTACAGGTGTAACCACCTAGTCTGGCTTGGAGACAATGTCTTTAAAGAGGTGATTATGTTAAAATGAGGTCTTCAGAGTAAGCCCTAATCGAATCTGACTGGTGTCCTTGTAAGAAGAGAAAATTTGGACAAGGAGAGACATCAGAAGCATGTGAGTGCGCTGGGCACAGTGGCTCATGCCTGCAACCCCAACACTTTGGGAGGCCAAGGTAGACAGATCACTTGAGGCCAGGAGTTCAAGATTAGCTGGGGCAACATGGCAAAACACTGTCTCTAATAAAAATACAAAAATTAGTCCAGCGTGGTAGTGCACGCCTGTAATCCCAGCTACTCGTGAGGCTGAGGCAGGAGAACTGCTTGAACTGGGAGACAGAGGTTACAGTCAGCTGAGATTGTGCCACTGCACTCCAGCCTGGGCGACAGAGCGAGACTCTGTCTCAAAAAAAAAAAAAAGATCTGGGCCGGGCACAGTGGCTCATGCCTGTAATCCCAGCACTTTGGGAGGCTGAGGCTGGTGGATCACCTGAGGTCAGGAGTTCGAGACAAGCCTGGCCAACAGGGTGAAACCTCGTCTCTACTAAAACTACAAAAATTAGCAGGGTGTGGTGTCGTGCACCTATAATCCCAGCTACTTGGGAGGCTAAAGCAGGAGAATTGCTTGAACCCGGGAGGCGGACGTTACAGTAAGCCAAGATCCCTGTACTCCAGCCTGGGCAACAGAGCGAGATTCTGTCTCAAAAAAAACAAAAACAAACAAACAAAAAAAACTGTCTGAAAAAAACTTAATGAATTCTTTCCAAGAAGGAAAAACAAAAATATAAATATAGAGATTCATGGAAAAGATGACAAAGTAAGACAAGACAAAACTGACAAAATCCAGGAAAGAAGCAGAAGGGAGCCAGGCACCTGTAATCTCAGCAGTCTGGGAGGCCAAAGCAGAGGGATTGCTTGAGGCCAGAAGCTGAAGACCAGCATAGGCAACAGAGTGAAGCACTGTCTCTACAAAACATCAAAAAATCATCCAGGCATGGTGACAAGTGCTTGTGGTCCCAGCTACACAGGAGGCTGAGGTAGGAGTAAAGCTTGAGCCCAGGAGGTTGAGGCTGCAGTTCATGCAGTTCATGCAGTTCATGAGACATGTTCATGCCACTGCACTCCAGCTTGGGCGACAGAATGGGACCCTGTCTTGAAAGGGGAAAAAAAAAAGGATGTAGAAGGAAAAAACATAACTATCACACTGGGCATGGTGGCACGTGCCTATAATGCCAACTACTCAGGAGGCTGAGGCAGGAGGATCACTTGAGCCCAGGAGTTCAAATCCGGCCTAGGAGACATATTGAGACACCATCTCCAAAAAACAGGTAAAATAACCATCACAAAAGTGAAGATGAAGCTAAAAGAGGCAAAAATAAAAGTGGACACTATGAAAAATACACTAACCAATATGGATGATAAAAATGAGAAAAGCAAACAATATAAACCAAAGGAATTAAATGTAATTAGAGAAAAAATGATAGTTGGCCAGGTGCAGTGGCTCACGCTTGTAATCCCAGCACTTTGGGAGGCCAAGGTGGGTGGATCACCTGAGGTTGGGAGTTCAAGACCAGCCTGGCCAACAAGACCAATCCTGTCTCTACAAAAAATACAAAAATTAGCCAGGCGAGGTGGTGCACACCTGTAATCCCAGCTACTTGGGACGCTGAGGCAAGAGAATTGCTTGAACTTGGGAGGGGGAGGGTGCAGTGGGCTGAGACAGCACCACTGCACTCCAGCGTGGGCGATAAAGTGAGACTCTATCTCAAAAAAAAAAAAAAATAGAGAGAGAGAGAGAGAGAGAGAGAGAGAGAGAGAGAGAGAGCGCGAGCGCTATAGAAGACAGACCAAAGACAGCCAACATGCACAATTGAAATTTCCAATGAAGATAACCAAAACATTAGAACAAATAAGTATTTAACTGGGTGTGGTGACTTGAACCTGTAGTCCCAGCTATTAGGTAGGTTGAGGTAGGAGGATCACATGAGGCCAGGAGTTCAAGGCTAGCCTCAGCAACAGAGTAAGACTCCCCATCTCTAAAAATAAATAAATAAATAAATATTTAAAGATATACAGGTCAGGCGTGGTGGCTCATGCCTATAATCCTAGTACAGTACTTTGGGAGGCCAAAGTAGGAGGATCACTGGAGGTCAGGAGTTCGAGACTAGCCTGCGCAACATGAGACACCCCCCCACCCACCCAACCCCTGTCTCTACAACAACAACAACAAAAAAAAAAATTCACTGGGCAGGGTGGCACACACCTTTGGGAGGGTAAGGTGGGAGGATGGCTTGGGCCCCAGGGTGGAAGCTGCAGTGAGCTGTGATCGTGACACTGTACTCCAGCCTGAACAACAGAGCAACACCCTGTCTCAAAAAAATAAATGAATAAAGTATGAGCCAGTGACTTTTTGTTTTAAAACAAGCCAAGCCATCATTCACACACAAAGGCTACAAACGATAGTTTTGAACATACAGGAATTCTGGGGATATTTTTCCCATGGGAATATTTTTCTTTTTTTGAGACAGAGTTTCGTCTTGTTGCCCAGGCTGGAGTGCAATGGCGTGATCTTGGCGCACCGCAACTTCTGCCTCAGAGGTTCAAGCGATTCTCCTGTCTCAGCCTCCCGCGTAGCTGGGAATACAGACATGTGCCACCACGCCTGGCTTTTTTTGTATTTTTAGTAGAGACAGGGTTTCTCCATGTTGGTCAGGCTGGTCTCGAACTCCCGACCTCAGGTGGTCCGCCCGCCTCAGCCTCACAAAGTGCTGGGATTACAGGCATGGGCCACTGTGCCCCGCCTCCCATGGAAATGTTTTTCTTGAGGAAACTGCTAATGAATAAACATTACTCACCAATGGATAGCAAAGGGAACTTCAGCAAAGGGACAAGCAGGAGCACTG